TGGGCCCCATGGTTGTTTATTTATTTACCTCTCCTCTGTTGTTCTTTCCTCCCACCTGATCCAGAATTCCCGGTCTTACCTCTCCTGCGAGACACAAAAGCTTAGTGGACTGCAAACAGTAAATAAAGCTGACATTTGCAGCAGTCAGTCTGATACAAGAGGATGGGGATGCAGCAGCACTTTTTTGGGCTTGTTTGCACTCCTTTATTTAAAGTCTCTTTTAATCAGGAGCTAATTTTTGGTCACAAGAGCTGATGCACAGAGAAAAAAAAATACCCACCAGTTTGCATTCAAAATAATGCAAAGCATTATAAATAGGGAGATCTGCAAGGATATAATCAAGCTAAATTGCTCATTGTTGCTCTCACCAGAGATGATTTCTTGCCTCTATCTGGGCTGGGCTGTCGTCTGACTTTAGGGATGATGTGTTCTCTCTTTATTCCAGTTATAAACCTTTGCAGCAGCAGCAGCTGGAGGCTGCAAGAGTGGGTTTTTCCTCTGGGTTTTGTGCAGATCAAGCAAATATTCTGGTGGCTTGGATACTGCCGTCCAAACTGTGGCAGGAAAATTGTCCTACAGGTTTCTGCCACTCTCCTCCTGCAGCTGAGCTGACCCCTTCAGATGGAGCTGTCTCCTCCAGGACTCTGCTGCAGGCAGACAAGGAGGAGTCCTGCAACAGGTCACAGCAGCAGGCTGCCAGGAAAGCAGCTTGGGAACAGGTTTGGGAAGAGAGGACTGTGTCTGCCTGCAGATGGTGTGCAATAAGCTCTGGATTTTAGTGGCTCTGTGCAATTTATCCCATTGGAAGTAGCTGAGCCTGGAGAGAACCGGGAGCTGATGCTGAAGTCTCCAAACAAATCATGATGCGTTTAATACTTGGGTGGTTTTTGGTCCTAATTTTCTTCAACTGTGTTGTACATGAATGCAACATAAAAGCTGTGCACTTTTCCATGCTTTAATTGAACTAGTGTGTGGAAACATTGAATGGTTTGGGTTGGGAAGGACATTAAAGCTCAGCCAATCCCATCCCCCTGCCATGGGCAGGGACACTTCCACTAGACCAGCTTGTTCCCAGCCCCATCCAGCCTGGCTTTGGGCACTGCCAGGGATCCAGGGGCAGCCACAGCTTCTCTAGGCACCCTGTGCCAGGGCCTCCCCACCCTCAGAGGGAAGAATTTTTTCTCAATATCTCATCTACACCTTCCCTCCTTCAGCTTTTCCCCTTGTTCTATCACTCTATGCCTTTGGGAAAAGTCTCTGTACTTTGTGTATTGTGGAGACAGCTTATAAGCTGGGTAGCAGTATTCTGGTCTGCTGATTTTCCTATTAAATTATTTAAAATCTTTAAAAAATAATAATTTGCTTGGTTGTTTCTTCACTGGGCAGTTCTCTGAGAAGTGTAGGTGGCTTCAGTTACTGCTTGGCAGTGAAGCTTGCCATGGAAATACCACAGCCTGAAAAACTTCATGGTTATGGAAGGCAAATGTGGCTTTATGATATCACTCTTGTCCCCAAAACACAGCCTTTAGCTCAGATATTCTGCATGTCTCTCTTAAAGCTTTTTCCCCTTTGCTCCCCTGTGTATGGAGCAACTTTTGCTGAGGAATGGGAGCATCCTGAGGGTTAAGCGACCTAATTTCATCTGTGCTGCTTTTGTCTTTCTAACCTCAGAAGGCAGAGACCCTGGACTTAAAAGTATATAAAAAGATTCTAATTAGTACAGGAAAAAAAAATTAGGCTTCCCTTGAAAAAGGGGACTGATTTTAATCTTCTAAATTAGCAAAAGGGTGGAGTTACAAGCAGCAAGTGTGGCACCTACTTGGATATTCCGCAGCATCCTTTTTTTTTTGGCCTAGCTCTTGGTAGGAAGGCAAGCTCCTGGGTGGAGTTACAGCTCCCATCAGAGTGTCCTGTTTGGACACGTTGACAAGCCACTGCTGTCCTTGTCAGCTGTGAATTCAGCCTGGCTGTCAGGGATGAGAGAGGTGCCAGTGCCCGGTGTCACCTCCTTGCTCCTCCCGCCTGTGACAGGCAGGGAAGCCTGGCTCTGCTGGCAGCTGGGAAAGCCACCAGCTCCTGGCTGAGCGTGACATCCAGTCTCCTGCCCTGCCAAGGGGTGTGGAAATGTACCTGGACAACTGAGACTGCAGTGTGCACCAGCCATCCTGCTGGTAAATGTTCCAATCAGAATCTCCTCAGGGCCCTCTGGAATTCATCAAGGTTGCTAAGACATAAACTGTGCTAAAATGTGAAAGAAGAAGCTGAGAAACTGAATTCCAAGAGCACATGAAATAGGTAACAGAGAGCTGTGAGCCACCTGGACTGTAACCAACCACATATTCTGAAAGGTGCTTGCAGAATGCATGGACAAGACAAGGCAGCAATAAGAAATGTGTGATCAGCATGTGCAGTAGTGGCAGAATCTATAAATAAGTGTATACTGTAAACAATAAATGGCTTCTGCTTAATCATATTGGTCAGTGGTCCAGGAGTCCTGAATTTCCCACTTCTCATCAGCATCTGGCTCAGGAGGTCCCACAAGGAGCTGCTCCTCCAGCGAAGGCAGGCACCCCAGGAAAGATGATTTTTGGGGTGGCTCTTGGTGAAAAGCCCGGTGTATTTGGGATTAGGCACTAGGACACCACAGCTTGCAGCCTCTTTGGCCACAAGCCTGTTGAGCCTGGCATTTTTGCCAGGTGGAGATGAAGGGTTTTGCTGGGTGCTCAGAAAACTCTGCTCTCCACCTGTAATTTTTTTGTCAGAACTTTCATTCCTCTTTATTGCTGTTTTTCTAATTTTTCTCTGGGCTTCTAATGACGGTGATTATGCCAAATGCAGCACATTTCATGTACTGTGGAAATGACTTTCAGACCCAACTCTCAGGGCTTAAAGGACCATTAAAAACCTTGCTTTTCAGAGCTAGGCTTTGGTGTTCTCCCCACTCTATTTCCAGTCCTGCGTTAAGCTGTAAAGTAGTAAAATTGCTGACTTGATTATGTTGCATTAATTAATTATCTCTATAGCAACATGCACTGATGTCATAAATATGGGAATTCAGCAGTGCGGCTGGATGGAAGAGGAGTTAATGGATAAATGGGGAGAAAGCTGGTTTTTTTTTTAAATCTCTGCAGTAGTTAAGTAAACAGATTACTAATAAAGTAATATTTTGCAGTTTCTCTTTCACTGCCCCATTTCCCTTCTGCATTGCATAGTCCTGTGTGCTTCTCCTGGAGGAGTATTCCAAGCTGCAGGTCCCACTCTCAGCCTGCTCAAAGCCCCGGGTTATGCCCTGATTGCTTTTACAGCGACCTGGAAATGTGGAAATTGAGGCAGCAGAGCTTCTCCTTGCAGGAGGAGTTCCTCTGCCTTCAGCAAAGCCACCCTGCTTGGGATGCTTCTCTGTGGGGGAGGGAAGGCTGTGGGTCTCGAGAAGGAAATACAGATAATTTTGGCATTGTGAGGTGGAGGGGGTGACACAGTGCGAGACAGGAGATGTCAAGAGGCAAAGGAGATGGAAAAAGTGAATTTTGGCTCTGAGAAGGCTGGGATGCTCCTCTCTGCTTAACGTGGGTACAAGCAGTTTTTACTTATCTGGCTGTTAGGAGCTGGGTTATCTCTGGAAGTCCTGGCTGGGCCACTGGCTCTCTCCTATGTTGGCTCTCAGATTAAAGGCAGGAGAGAGGTGTCTACACCTGTCTACAGACAGTGCTTGTGCAGTGGGGCTCAGACAGGGACTCTCTCCCTGTCTCCAGGAGTTTGCAGCAGATGTGGTGTCCTAAGAATTCAGGAGGAATGGCTTGTGATGACAACTACAAAATCAGGCTGGGAAGAGGAATAATCAGTTCTTTCAAAGGAAGAAATATGATCAGAAGAGTCCATAATTGCACCGCAGGTCTAAAGCTGTACAGAGGTGGAGACCTGGTGCATTTGTCACTCATTTTTGCTGTCAGTCCATCCCCTGAATAATTTTGTTTTGCTGTTTGTTTGCCGCCACCAGCCGTGAAGCTGATCAGTCCTTACCAGTCCAGCACAACGCTGGAGGAGTAAAGGCGCTCTGGGGTGAATAATTTATTCAGTTAATCTATTTTGATTTCTGTCATTTGACAGAAAGTCCCAGGCAGGGTCTGTGTGGAGGAGGCTGGGAATGCAGCGCTGCTATTTATACAGCGCCCCGGCTCCGGGAAGAGCTGCGGGGATGTGCTTGGCAGGGTGAAGAACTTGTGCTCTCAGAGCACTTTGGGATGGCAGACACCCCTGAGTTTTCGGCAGGAAAAGACTTGGGCACGTTGGCTTAGTTCTGCACTGCGGTGGAGCAGGGAAAATTCACAGCGAGGGGGTGATGGGCACTGCCAGGTGAGCTCTGGGACAGTCCCTTGGGAGGTGCTGAGGGTGAAAACCCTTCTGTGGAGCAGCCCGGATCATGTGCTGTCAGACTAAGCTCTCTTCTGACCCAGAGATGGGTCAACTGAGAGGTGTTTTAAAAACTTTTATTTCATTTTCAATCTCATGTGAAGGGTGAGGCAATACAGATGTTACAATTCACACCATCACAATCAGAAGCCAGCTATTTCCTAATTACAATATGCTATAAGCATTTCCTGGCCTATCAGCTTTTGCTGTGCCACTCAGCATCTGCTGGGAAAAGAAAGCCCCAAATATTGCTGGCCTGCTCCATGTTTAATTGGCTGCCACAGCAAGTCAGGGAAGGTTTAAGTCAGAGTGCAGGACACTGCACAAACATCAGGTGATAAATCACCCCTCTCTGCCTGGAATATGTGCAGGAAGGGTTAAGTTGTAAAACAACCTGCCCTTTCCTACGTAAATGAAAAAAACTTGTTAACATGGTAATATTTTGATTTCCACCGAAAAGTGTTTATTTTGGTAGCCTGTACAAAATTTCAGCTATTCTAAAACCCCGAGATTTCACAGGCGAGCTTTCATGTTCCGAGCAGAGAAGGAGGTGCAATACTCAAAGAGTCTCTGTTCTTATTTCAGCATTGCACTTGCCAGCCAAATTTTCAAAAGAGCCCAGTTTGCTGACATAAATGGGGTTGCTGATGTGCCGAAGGAGAAGGAAGTGCTGGAGAACATATTCCTCCCTGGGTTCAAGTCTCTCCCATCTTATCTTTCCCTTCCATATGTTTCCTCTGTAATGAGAGGAATTATTTATCATTAAAGTGATATATAATTTAAAAATTAAAGTTAATGAATGCTTAAATTAATTTACTGACAAAAACAAATGTCTGTCCTTCAGATCCTATAATTTTAATTGGAGTGGGCTACGGCTTAATTAACATGTATTGATTGTAGTCCTGAGTGCATCTATAGGTGGGTGGACTGTGTTGGGAGAAATCCTCCTCAGAGATGAAGATTTGCTGATAACATTCTGAATAATTGTCTTGTGAAGAGACAGAAGTCTTTGCTGTTTTCTCTGCAGAAAGCTTTAAACAAAAGGTATTGTTTATAATCAAGGCAAAAATTTGGCATGGCCGCTTTATAGATGGGAAGAGAATTCTGCTGCAAAAATATTAATGAATTGACTCATTAATTAGGTGCATGAAGAAGACAGAAAATTGGAGGAGAGCTGGAGCAAATAAAGAAGTGAATGCTACTGGAAACTTTTTGGGGGACAAAAAGGTAGGCTTCAATTTTTTGTTTACTCCCTACGCTCTTTCCCCTGGGCAGCTGTCCCCAGTTCCATGGTGGGGATAAGGGGTGTGACAGCTTTTTTAGGAATGTGAGGGCCACTTGCTTTGGGCCAGTGAGAGGAGAAAACATCCCAAGGTCCCTCCAACCGCAGATGTTCTGGGAGCCTGTGGAGCTGGGGACAGGCACTGCAAGCAGGAGCCCAGGGTGTGAGGAGAAAGGGAGGCAATCCTCGCTCCCTGGCACAAAGCCCTCTGCCTGATGCTGAAAACCTTTTCCTTGACTGCTCCAGGCAGCAAAGGACCTGAATCCATCTCTTTAAAGAGACCTCTGTGTTCTCTGGTGTTAATATTTAATGTTTTATGAATGACCAGAATGAAAGATGTGCCACGTGTCTCCTTGCAGCTTCAGCCCACAGACTGCCTGAGCTCCTCTCAAGGATTCAAGAGCGAGGTACCCTCAGGAGCCTCCTGGCCCTCTGGGGCAGGTTTGGGTGTCTGCAAGGGTGAAAACAGGAAAGCATTTATTTTCTCTGGACAGGACAAGAAGAAACAGCCTCAGGCTGCCCCAGGGCAGGTTCAGCTTGGACATCAGGAAGAATTTCTTCGCAGAAAAAGTTGTTAGGCATTGGAAAAGGCTGCCCAGGGAGGTGATGGAGTTGTCACCCCTGGAATTGTTTAAGATGTGGCATTCAGTGCTCTGGTGTGGTTGTAAGGTGGTGATTGATCTAAGGTTGGAGTCAATGATCTTGGAGGCCTTTTCCAACCTAAATAGTTCTGTGATTCTCTAATTCTATGATTCTCTCAGCCTTGGGTTTGAGAGGTTTTTCCTTCCATAGCACAAACTACTCCTTCTTCAAAAAGACATTTTTTAAATTGAATTGTATACACGCAGAGAAAACAACCAGTCCTCTAGACTTGACTCACAGCAAAATGTTTATAAATTCAGACCCAGGTTGCAGAGATGAAGACTCAAACAGAAGAGGGGATTTTGTGAGGCCCCGTGTTACCTGGGTGGAAGAGATTCCCAGCTGCCTCCTGTCACCACTCTCTGCACAGGGGATGGGAAGGGGACCAGTGGTGGTGATTTGGGGAGCCCCTCACTCCCTTTTCTGCACTCAAGCCCAACTGGCAGCTCAATGTGCTCTTTCTGAGAAGCACAGAATCCTTTGGTTTGGAAAAGAATTCTGAGATCACTGAGTCCAACCTTTAACCCAGCATGGCCAAGGCCACCACTAAACTGTGTCCCCAGGCGCCACATCTACACCTTTTTTAAACACTTCCAAGGATGGTGATTCCAACACTTCCCTGGGCAGCCTGTTCCAGTGCCTGACCACCCTTTCAGTGAAGAAGTTTTTCCTAATATCCAACATAAACATCCCCTGGTGCACCTTGAAGCCATTTCCTCTACCCTGTCCTTTTTTTCCTGGGAGAAGAGCCTGACCCTAACCTGGCTACAACCTAACTGAAGTTTTCCTTTTGGCCTCCATGCCCTAGAGGAGGAGGATTTTGATTCATCCAGTGGGGCTGGGCAAATGGAAACTCCTCTTCCAACTTGTCAAGCCCATCCCTTGTGCTGTCCCTTTTTATTAATGCAGTGCACAGGCAATGCCTTCCTGGAGACCTTTTCCCCCCCCTCCAATATATTGAATAAATTTTACATCAGGAAGGAAAGTAACTTGCAATAATGAACCATCAGTGGGTATTTAAGATTGCTTTAATGGGTCACATTGATGTAATCTCCACTTTTTCCTGGGAAGATCATACTGGGCCATAACCTCAATTCATATTTATGTCAGAAGAAACTATATGGGGAAGATGGCTCAGAAAGAGCTTTTCCCTGCTAAGCAGTCGAACACAAATGTACAGATCTGCCAGAAATGTGCTGGGATTTGAAGGGAGACAGGGAAATATCAGATGTTCAGGGCATTTCTCTCTTGCCTGGAAAAATTCCTGAAAAACTGGTTTCTCACCCCAGGATGTGACCCAAGAGGGTGTGTGCTCGTGGGACCAGAAATGTGCCAGGTTGAGAGACTTTTAAATGACTCTTAGGAGCACTTTTTTCATCTTTTCCATGTGGGCATGAGAGGTGTCTGTAGTTTGCCTGGCTAAAAAAAAAAATAAAAAAAAAAATCAGGAGGGAAAGAGATATAGAAAGAGCTGTATAAATAAAAGCAATGGAGGTTTATGTATATAAATATATATACATAATATAAATATATTTACATATAATATCAGTAATGTTTGACCTTTCAGTTATGTCCTTATGCCGGTTATTTCTTATTGGTCGGACCCTTCTGAAGGCCAAAATCCAGCCCAGCCTTGGGAAAATAAAGGATGAAAATTGCATTTGAGGCCATTCCTCTTGGCCAGAAGCAGCAGCTCTGTCTTGATCCAGCGCTGCAGGAAGATGAGATAAAGTTGCAAGTTCACTCGGTCAGGATGGATGAGGGTGCAATGGAAATAACACAAATTCCCGGAGCTGTCTCGGTGAGGAAGGGACAAACATGACTAATGCTGCCTGAATGATTTGCACAAAAGGATTTCTTGGACAAACTTTGCCTTTCTGGAGGTAAACTGTCAGAGGGCACAGCGCAAGTTTTCTGATGTGTTCATGAGTCAGAATTATTTAATGAGGGAATGGAGCAGCCCTCCCCCAGGCCTTGGAGCCGGGTTACCCAGGGGAACAACACCAGCTCTTGTTCTTGAGGTCACCCCAAGCTCTCCCTGGTAAAATCACTCCTTAGTTTGTATTTTTTGGACCATGGGGAGCACATTTGCAGTGCCATGAGGTGGGAAACCTGACTGCAAAGAGGGTTTTAGTGATGCAAGCGTCCAAATGGTGACGCCGGTGCTCAGTTTCTAGAAATGCTTCCAGTTGTTCTCATCTAAAACAAAAAATAAAGTGTGGCCACACTTTCTATTTTTTTTTTTTTTTTTTTTTTGGGTATGCCATCTAATTTTATTGTTCATCTGTCAACCTTTTTGATGCACCTGTGAGAAGAATAATTTATTCAGCCATTTTGTCAGTGCCATTATCTCTAGCAGAAGGCCAATAACTAAAAATTAGTGGTGTAGCACACACACAGACTAAAGAATGAGACTTTCTTCCTTTCCTTCTTTCTCTTTTCTTTTTCTTTTAAAGCATCCTTTTGTTGAAAAATAGCATTTCAGGTCAGCTGAAATTATTTGTGTTGAACTCAACAAAAAAGATGACAACAGAAAGTAGCAATTTGAAAAAAATCAAACCATATTTTTGTGCATTTTTGAAATTAGATGCTTTTACTTCTGTTTTTTGAAGTGATGTTTGGAGCCAAAATGAAACTAATGTTAACTTTAAAAAGATGTTCTTTGGAGCTTCCCCATTGATTCTTTCCCTCCCCACCCCCAAATATTTTCTCCTTGCTTTAAATTTTGTTTAGGAAGAAACAGTTTTTCTCGAGCTGGCTCAGGATCATCCCATACCCCTGACCAAAAGAAGTAAATCCACATGGTTATGAACTGGTTGAAGCCCCCATGAACAAAAAAAGCAAAGCAGAGGGAGAGCTGCCAAGCACTCAACACTTTCATTCTGGCAAATATTTCCTTTTTTCATTTGTTCTGCTGTGGGAAAATGCTCCTGGCATGTGTAACCATGAGAGTGGATTTAAATCTCTTTGGCTTCTCCCCTTCCAGGTGGGTCAGAACGTGTCCCCTGAGCCAGAGATGGACCTGCAGAGCCATGGGGAAGGTCCAGCTGGTCTGGACAGCTCCTCCCATCTCAGGCCTCCATCCCTCTGCTCTCAGGCAGCTGCTGGAGCTGTGTCCATCCTCAGGGACGTGGGATGTGCCTGTGAAGCGTGACTTGGGTTTTCCCTGCTCTGAAAATAGAGAACAAACCACCTGTGCAATCCAGGAGAAACAGGAAGGGAAGTGACATCTGAGCTGTCCCCAGGCTGTCCCCCTATGCCTGAAATAACTCCTGTAGCCCAGCAGAGCCTGCAGGTGTCTTTGGTCCCTTTGGGCATCCAAGGGACATTGAAAAACTGGATGTTGCTGGAGGAAGAGCATCTGGAGGGGCAGTGACACATGGCCTGAGCTGCAGGATGGGGTCCCAGCAACCTGGATTTCTTTGTGCTCGTGCTGGGAGCCCCCTCCCTGCTCACTGCACAGCAAAAGCTCCCTTTAGCCTGTCCTAGGAGCAGCAAAAAGGCTCAGGCTTGTGTGGAAATGGAAGAATGAAGTGAGAGTTCATTTTTCCTCACTTTCCCAACCAGGAGATTCATGAGGTGGCTGGGTGAGTTTAAGGGTACCTGCAGTCTTTTCATCATATTGATGGCTGGATGGATTGTGTGGCTTGGAATAGGGTTAAGGCTTTAATTAAATCAGGGCTGCCCTCTCTGCAACAGTTCCCTGCTGCTTTAGGGAATCATTCCCAGCCTCTTCAGACCCTGTGTGGTGGGATGACCCTGGCTGGATGCCATGTGCCCAAAAAAGCTGCTCCTTCACTCCCCTCCTTGGCTGGACAGGGGAGAGAAAATTCAGTGGAAGGCTTGAGACCAGGACAGGGAAGGATCACTCAGGAATTACGGTCATCGGCAAAAGGTCTCAACTTGGAGAAATAAATTTCATTTATTGCCAGTAAAATTGGAGTAGTGTAATGAGAAATAAACCCAAATCTTCAAAACACCTCCCCCCCACCCCTCCCTTCTAGTCAGGCTTAGTTTCACTCCCGAATTTTCTCCCTGCTGCTGCCCAGCAGTGCAGGGGCTGTGAAACGGGGCTGTGGTCAGTTTATCCCACATTTTCTGTCTCTGCCTCTTCTTCCTCCTCATCCTTCCCCTGCTGCAAGAGGGGTTCTTCCCTCGGGAAGGAAATATTTGAAATATTCCAGCCCACAGGCTGCAGTGGGGAGGACTGACACTGGAATATCTGCTGCTCCTCTCTCACTGGCGCTCCAGCACAGGCATCCCTCGGGATCACAGCCTCCTCCAGGCATCCCCTTCCTCCACAGACTGCAGGTGGGTCCCTGCTCCACCCTGGACTTCCAGGGGCTGCAGGGGACACTCTGCCTCACCGTGGGCTGCACCAGCTCTGTTGTGTCGGAATCTGTGGGTATTGGTGATTCCGAGATTGTAGAAAGTCTCTGTCTTTCTGCCCCATTGCCAAAGCAGAAGCCATAATTGGTCTGTGCTGGTTTCAAGGTTGTTTATTCTGTTTATCTCTAACATGTTCTGCTGCCCTGCCGCAGCTCTGTCCTGCAGGGCAGCGTGTGGGGCTCTGCCCTCAGTGGGATGGTACAAACATTAAATACCACAAACTACCTGTGCTGGATTTACAATAACGTGCCAATATCTGTCACCTACGTTGAACAGTGTGTCCCCAGCCTAAACCAACAGAAAAATGCCAACACCACAGTGAAACATGGAGGGCATGAAGAAGAAGGAAAAGGATGAGACACACCCAATCCCTCCATCTTGTCCCCTCTGAACCCCTAATCTAGAAACCTAAAATTTTATTCTTGCACCCGTGTCACACTTAATTATTACTCTTATCAAACACTCAGAGCTTGTAATTCATCCTGTAAGATTAAAAACTCCTCTCCATGGACAGAGATCACAGACAGTGTCTCTGGGGGCTCTGTCCAGGGGGGTTCCTGACCCCTGCCAGGGTCCCAGACCTGCCAGGGCAGCCAGAGGGAAGCTCTGGATTCCCACACTGTTGGACCCACGAGAAGCTTCTGGCAGCTTCACAGAAGCCCCTCCCGTAGCCCCCCACTACCCAAACCCAGCCATGCCAGCCCAATGCACCTTGACTCATTACTTGGTTATAATTTCTCAGCCTAAAACAAGCTCTGGAGACCTGTTATTTTAGAGATTAAAGTTCTAGCATAAACAAACTCATATGCACGTTGTTTTTGCACAGAAGATGTTTTTAGTATCATATTTAATGTTCCAAACAAAGCCATTGCTTCTGGTGTTTTGCAGCCTGGATGCCTTTGAAAGGGTAGATATGGACCTTGTTTGATGTTGAGCTATTTGAGGCTTTTTATTTGCATTTTGTGGCTCTTATCTTGTAGACAAAGACTCCTTTCTGTGTCTGTAGATCAGGATGTCACCCACAAAGCTCTGTGGAAATGGGAGATGGCTCCAGAGGTGCAAGACAAGTTCAGGGGCAAATGGAAATGAGAGATATAGAACATTTGCACTTTGAGGTTTGGCTCATCCTAGCAGAGACTGGAGGTAACTTGTGTTTTTTCCATGGACTTTTGATTTTTTTTTTAAGGCAATCCCAGACTGGCAGAGGGGGGAGGAGAATTTGCTGGAAAATTGCAACGCCTCCCCAAATTTCAATAGCTGCCCCTGGTTGCTTGGCTTCTGGACATGGCCACACTGCTGGGGGCCAGGGAAACAAATACCCCCTGCACACCTTCAGCTCTTCTTTAGAGGGCAGGGAGAAGAGGAAGGGAGCGGTGCAGAGATGTTTTTCACTTGTTGGGTCAGGTGATGGTTGTGATGGATGATGAGCACCCTGCAGGTCAGGCTGTCAGGGGAGGGCTCTCAGCTTCTTGCAGGCTCCCCACGGAGTGAGGCATTGAAAAACTTGTGTCTGATGAGCTTAGGAGCTGGTGGCCAGTGCCTGCTGGAGAGAAAACCCAGCAGGAGTCGTGGGAGGCTCTGAGGGTGCTGCTGCACCAGCCTTGTGCCACTGCACAGTGTCATGGGCAGCCCTGGGTGGCCCCTCAAAGGCAAAACCCTCTTCCAAAGCCATCCCAGATGGTTCAGGGCTGCTTTATGGGCTCTGCCTTTGGCATCCAGAGCAGCATTTCAAATGGGAGGGTGCAGGGATGAATCAGCAGCTGCTGCTGTTGTGTGAGGAAGTTGTTCTAATGCACTTATCTCTTGTTTCTGTAAAGGTTATAAAAGTAAATAATATGGCTCTAACACAGTGTCCTTGCAGTCCCTGTGTAGTTCCATGGATAACTCTTCCTAAGGCAGACTCGTGGTGATTAATACTCTACAGAGGGAAATTATTTTCTTTAAAAGGGAGCAGCAGAGAAGTAAAGCTTGAAGATGCTTGTTCCCTTCATGCCCCCCATGCTTCAGGCTGATTAGCTTTTGTTTCCTCCTCCAGCATGAGGGAACTGGTGAAATGTGCTCCCTCCTGCCTTGCAGTGTTGATCCCTGGCACTGTGAGGATTAGCAAGTGCCCAAAAGCATCAGGAGGTGACTTTTCTCTGCCATAAGACCCCTCCTCACAGGCCTGGGCTGCCCTAGGGAGCTGGCAGCACCCTGTGGACCAGGGGAGAAGCATCAAGCTTCTTTCTGTATGCTGGAGAGGGGCTGGAGAGGGAATGTGGGCTGGGCAGGGGAGGCTGAAGTGTCTCACCCCTCCCTTCCTGGCACTTGTGCTGTGCTGAGTTCACGCTGATGCTGATCCTGTCTCTGTAAAGGGTTTTTAGCACTCCTCAGAGACCTGCCCTGAGCTACAGCCAAGGACTGGGAGACCACTGGGAAGCAGATTGGTACTGCCCAAGGCTGCCCTGAACAGTGTGGCAGGGTACCAAGCACATGTAACCCAGCAGCCAGTGGGAAACAATGAGATTAATGAAAACTGGTCCTTTTCCCTTCATATTCTCATCATTGCACCCCTCTCCATCCATCCCACACGCTTGAACTATCTTGCCTGGGATTACAGTTCTGCATTCCCTCATTTCCCAGCAATGTTTTGTCTTTGTGGAGCTCAAATGTTGCCCTGAGCTATCCAGCTCTATGTGCTCCCCACAGACGTGGCTTCTCCAAAACTTTCCACTTAGTGCTCAAAACTCTTTTGACCTTTGAAAGCTTTGGCTTGGGAGGGAAATTCTTCTACTCCAGGAAGGGATGCTGCAAAATAAATCCCACCACGGGCAAGGGAGAGGCATCTAATCTTCCTGCTCCCTAGATTTAGCTGTGCCATTAGCCTGGACCCTGCACATAAAGCTAATTTTATAATTTGTAAACGTAGCTGAGTGGGTTTTATAGAGGAATGTCGGGAAGTGATGAAATACCTTCAATAGATTTATAAAGAAGTTTAATGCATAAAGCTCTCTCCCCCCCTCCTGCCCCCCTCCTTCTGTCTTGGAGTTGCACACAACAGAAAACATGGCCATGGGAAGGGCTTTGTGGCCAGCACTCAAGCCTTTAATTTTGCTTTTACAAGACAGTTTTATAACATCAAGAAGAATGGAAAAGCTGCAAGGCATGCACACTCAAGACGCCGTGCTCCTGGAAAGTTCTGGATGGGCTCCAGGCAATGTTTGGTGGCAAAGAAAGATGAAGGTCTTGGAAAGAAGAGGAAATCATCAGCCAAGCCCTCATCCTGCAATATTCCTGTTTCTGTGAGCTGGGGATGCCATTGGAGCATTGGGAAGGACAGAAAAAATATGTTCCTGCAGCATCACGTGTCTGAGGGTGAGTTCTGATTGCAGCAATAACAGCTTCTTCTGTTCCACCCCACTGAATTTTCCTGGTGCAATGAAAATGAGCCATCCCATGATCTGCAAGGCTCAAAAAACTGATTTTTACTGGTGCTTGGGCTCTGGAATTCCTGTTAGGAATTCCTCTGAATTGTAAAATGTTTTCCTGCTTTCCCTGGGGAGGATAACACTTGTGGTGCCCAGTGGGTACCACTGTGAATCTCCTCTGGGTTTGGTGGTTTTTTGCTGGGTTTTTTTGCTGGAGTAAAAATGGGCTGACAGGTTTGGAGCTGATTAGCAAAGGCAAGGAGAGATGGCTGTTGTGACCATGTGTTCCTTGTTTTCCTCAGGAAACCAGGCCAGCAAGTGGGCTGTGCCACCAAACCTCCACAGCACAAGCCTCAAACAGCCTCGTATGAAGGTTTTGCAGTGTCAGAAAAAGGGTTTTAGACCCAGAGATCTGAATTAGCAAGATAACTGATAATCAGCTGATAATCAGCATGCACAGAGCAGCCTTATCATACCCAGCAGCAGCCCTGTGCTCCCCCTCTGTATCACCCAAGGGCTGAGCAAACCCAGGGCCAGCAGCCTCCCATGGGTCTCTCCTGAGAATGATCAGAAGATCTGGAGGAGAAGGCTCTTCCCAGGCCAGTTTGCCCAGCTCTGGCTCAGCAGCTTTGCAGATTAATCTCTGCCTTAAGACCTTACACACATGAGAAGTATTGGAGGGAGGAAGGATCACCAGGATGTATTTTTCCACTCCATCTCTTTGGTTTTTTTGGTTTTTATGTTCCTAGTTGTGTTTTCTTTTAACGATTCGCAGCTTGGACTCTTTCCTGATTTTTCTTTTCTTTTTTATTGATATCTTTTTTTTTTTCCCCCTCTCTCTCTATTGAACGCTGATGGAAAAGGAGAGTGCTTTCCTCCTGCCTACTTAAATCTTTGGCTGAGTTGCACAGAAAAACAGTCACACTTACTGCAGCTCCCAAAGCCTTCAAATCATCAGGGGAGAGGGGAGGGGGGAGCTGCAGAGGGAAGAAAATCATTTGTATAGGCGTAGAGTGAAGAATCACCTTCCTTTAAGCTCGTGATCTGTCTCTGTTCCTACAGATTGCTGTCTCTGATCTTTTTTTCTCTGCCCAATATCTCCTTTCTATTATCTTTCCTCTGCCTTTGCTGTGATGTGTCTGTGCTGTGTCCCTTTTTGCTGGGATGTCTTGCTCCCAGGAGAGTTTGAAAAAGAATGCTGTGACTTGAAGATGCAGGTTATTGACAAGAAATCATTACTAAAACCTTTTAATGCCTCTTTTGTAATTGATACAGGGATGGGCGGGGGGATTTTCCTGTAGACACAGATTTTTTTTTTCCCCCTCCAAATGTCTTTAAAAGCCCTGAGTGTGGTGTCCTCCAGCCACTTCCTAATGGGTTAAAGCATCCTGGTACCAGATGCTTTGGGGTCTGTAAATATTGCCCTGTTTGCAGATGGATGCACTTACAGGGAAGCAGATGGAGCCTGAAATACTGAGCAGCAGAAGACCCCAGAGTGCTTGCTCTCAGCTGAGCATCATCCTACATGTAATTTTGGGGTCCTCCTTTAAGCTACCAAGATGTTTGCTTGCCCTTGCACAGCTCTTGTGCCCCTATTGCTGGGGAGAGAGAACAAGAGAGGCTGAGTGGGGCTGAAAACACCCAAACCTCTTACCCTGGCCACTGGGGGCAAAAATAGCCTGGCTGGGATGAGGGCACTGGTTGGTGCCCATAAGAGGGGAGGGATGAGGGTCCAGCAGGGTGAGACTTGGCAAAACCCCCATTTCCTCTGCCAAGACTATCTCCTGACCATCTCCCTTGGCTGTTTTGTATTTTTTTCCCCTTTTTTGCTGGCATCTGTTGCTAGGAGATAGAAAGCACAGTCCTTTTTGAAGCATCTTCAGCTGCCTTCTACCTTCCCGGAGAGCTTCTGCTTTGTTCAGTGTCCCTGCTCCTTTCCTTCTCTTGGACTCATCCTTTTCAACTTTCTCCCCTAGCCTCCACACAGGGTCAGGAAGGATTTGCCACGTCCGTGCTTGTTTCAAACACTGCTGTGAGCCTGCTCCCCAAATCCTCTTGTTTTAACTAGCTCAGGATTCAGCATCAAACACCTGCCTGTGAACTTAACTCCTGTTCCAGGTGTTCCTCCCCAGGGATGGAGGAGTCAGGTCTAAGGGAAAGGAGCCCCTCTGGGATTTGTGCAACTCCTTCAGCATGCAGATACGCCCAGGCAGCTCCCTCCATCTCCCAAGGACTCTGCCCTTGGGATGTGCAACAGCTTCTCACCCCTCTGCAGGCATTTCTCTGCTCTGTGGGCTTTGCTGGGGCCTCAACTTCCCATGAAAACTTGCTGGTTTAGGGGTTTCCCTTACACAGTTAAAATAAAAAGGGAGGGGAAGGATGCTGCAGAGGCGCAGGTGAGAACAAGGACGAGAAGTGGGTCATGGCATTGGCCCCTGTTTTGGGCTCTAAATCACTCTGTGTGCCTTTAAAAAAAAGAACCCAAAATCAAACAAAATGCATGAAAAAAGAGAAACCTGTTCTTAGTCTTCCAGCTTATTCCCAGAACTGCAGACACGAAGCAGGTGGGCACTGAGGGCAGCAAAATGTTTAGTGAGCGCTGAGCGGGGAAGTGATATTTTCCAGCTTGCCTAAGGATGCAAGAAAAATGCATCCGTGTCTGCAGCAGCCCCACGAGCTGGTGCTGACCTATTTATGTGCCCAATTATGCACACAGGCAGATGCCCCCTTCCCACCTTGGAGCAAGGGGCTGAGCCAGGACAAAAAATTGCCAGCGTGGAGTTTTTCCTGAGAACCAGCCCCGCCAGATCCTGAGATGTCAGCAGAGGGCTCGGCAGCAGCTCAGGGCTTTGGAGTGATGTGTTTAGATGAGATCTTGTTTATTTTCCTTTGGAGTGAGGGATGCAGCTGGTTTGGAGGGAGCAGTGAAAAATCCAGCCAGTCTTTCCATCTCTGCATCCATTAATGCTCACTGAAGCAGGGGCTCCCCCACCACGGTGCCTCTGGTGCCCCTCCAGTGCTCTCTCCTCCTCCTTCCCACCCTGATTTACCATATCCCATATTTCACTTCTGTTATGGCCAGTGGCAGCGATTGCTCCAGACATTCATCACGCTGTGGGTGTCACAGTGTCATGGTTGGTGCTTTTGTTTGAGTTCCAAAAACCTTAAACCACCTTAAACCACCAGGCCCTGGACAGTTGTTAACCTGCCTTGAAAACTGAGATTGCAGGAGGATTTTCCATGGGAAGTGGTGAAGTTTTAGTGATTTCTTACTCATCCCCTTTGCAGCCTCACTGTAAGATTAGATTTCAACATTATGGGCATTGAGTTGGGAGTGATAACAATATGGAAATGAGAACTAAGGATTGATCTCAAGAGCTAAACTGAGCTTTGTGAGTTAGAAATAAACTTTTTCTGGGAACTTTTTCACTGGGGTCAGGCTGTGCAAGCATAAACTCAGGTAGGTTGGAGGCTTCATCATCAAGAATTCCTTTTCCTCTATCACACCTGGGCAGCATCAACTGTTTGAACCTTAATTCCACCTGTGGGAAGGGGAGAGATCCCTGGAGGAGTTACAAAAATAAAAAATAATTTGTTCTGGAAGGAAGGGCTCATCCTGCCTGGCTCCCCAGCTGTGGTGCAACACATAACCCTTGTCAAAAGTGTGACACCTCCTCCTGCCTGCTGTCACTAATTGCTCACATTGAGCTGGAACAAGATAAACTGTTTACCCTGGGATGCTGCCACCCTGCCACCCCACTTTCCTGCTCTGGATAAAGAGGGAAATCAGTCATGCTGCCCTGGGGCTGGCCATCCATCTCCTTCCTCAGCAGTGGCCAGGGGAAGCCTGGCCAGCCCTCTCCCCTGTGAGCTGCTTGCAGGAGAAGGGGACAGGTTATAGGAATTGCCACACTGCAATTAAAAGTTATTTTTCCTTGCAGGGTGCTTTGCAATTGCTCTCTTGGTATTAATGATCTTAGAAAATCTGGCTCTAAATCTGCCTGGTTCTAAGCCTGTTGCAAGACCTTCTTGAGTCCTTTGCATTGGGCAGTTCTCTCTTTGAGCAGAAACTCAGAAAATCCCCAACAACCCAGAGTTGTAAAATCACAAATGAAGTGAGGTAGGTGTGTTGGAGGATTCCAGCCATTTGCCTAATTTTTCTCACCCAGTTTCTGCAATCCCCTGTGGAGATGCTTGAAAAGGACATATTTCCCCTTCTCTTTCATTGCTAGTTTTGTCATTCTGACAAATGGTTGATGTGTTGGTTGAGTTTCTAATGCTGCTGGAAGTGGTCGTGGCTTTTGTGTTTTCCAGCCAGCACCGTGATTTCCACAAAGAAATGAGAGTGAGAGGCTGTGGCTGACTGTTCCTCTGGCTCTATTGCACCCCACCACAATTTGCTTTCCTACAAATAACACCTTCCTATTTTACATCTCGACAGCAGCTTTCCTTATTTATTGAAAAGCTGGGGATTCTTGGAGGATATTTCCATTTTTCTCTGTTATTTCTCGTGGTTGCGCTACAGCAAATTGGTCTGCAGCTGCGCCTTTTCTCCTCCTTTTTGGCTGGAGGGAGCCTGCCTTGCTTGCTGGGTGATCAAAAAGCATCCCAGGAAATGGTCTGCAAGGAGCAGTTTTGGGTACAGTGTGGAAACAGTGCCTTGCTCAGCAGGGATGTGGTGGCACATGGAGACAATCCCCTGTTCCTCTGCTCCATCACGTGGAGCCCTGGAGGAGAGGGCTGTCTCCTGCAGGAGATGCCATGGAAACAGTGTTGTACCCCTTCCCCTCTGCTTTTGGTGGTGCCAGGGACAGCTTTTGCTGGTTGATGTCTCATTTCTTTGTGGAAATCACGGTGCTGGCTGGAAAACACAAAAGCCACGACCACTTCCAGCAGCGTTAGAAACTCAACCAACACATCAACCATTTGTCAGAATGTCAAAACTAGCAAGGAAAGAGAAGGGGAAATATATCCTTTTCAAGCACCTCCGTGGGGTGGAGGAGACTGACATGGAGGATGAGAAGTTTGGGATTCTGTGTGGAGTTGTTGAGAGCTGGTCTGGGTCTCTGGTGAGAAAGGGACAGAAGGTGCCTACATGAGGCTGGGAACAGTTTTTGCTGGGCTAACAAACATTGTCAGATGGGCTTAAAAGCAGAGCTGCTCTTCAGCAGAGTCCTGTTTTAACTGTCAGCCTTTACCAGCTGCAAAGACAGCCTTCTGAGTTTCTGCCAGCATCCTGAGTCTCCGTGCCTCTGCTTTTCTTAAGATGTCACACCCAGACACAAACCCCCTCAGGGAAAGAGGATGGCAATTCCCTCACAGCCAGGTCTGAGCTGTACCCCGGGTGAATCACAGAACCAGTAAGGCTGGATAGGTCCTCAAAGATCATCCTCAGGCTGTAATTATTAATCTGTCGCCTTTTCACTTGTATTGAAGGAAATGCCACCTTCTAGCTAGAAAATGAGAAATGAAAGGGGCACGAAAGATCTGAAGTTATTGGCGTTGTTTGACGTGTATCTAAATAAAAAAGAATTATAGAATAGGCTGAGTTGGAAGGGATCCACAAGGATCAGCAAAGTCCAGTTTCTGATCCTGCACAGGATCACTCCATGTTGCCACATTTTGCCACATTTTTGTGGTCTTCAGTTGTTAGGAAGTCCATGGGTTAGACTTCTTCCCCCAGTGCTCAGGGAAACAGCAATATTTACATCCCATGGCGTTCTCTTTTCCCGAGAAAAGCAGGAGTGAAAACTCTTGTTGTCATCCCCTCTGCTGGCCACAGCTCTCTCCTTTTGCAATATGAGCTGCTGTCTAGCACCAAATAGGATCATATTTAATCCCAGGGACATCGTATGGTTTCCCAAAGTGCTGTAGCATAATTGGAAAAAGAAGAACGAGTCCGGGATCACAGGGAGACAACTCAGCCGAAATGTAAACGGAACACTTTGCAAACACTCTGGGACCTGCTCGTGTTCCACAGCACTATTTATGATCCTTAACTGATCCAGAAGAGCTGACAGGATAAAAGAGGAGCCTGTCTCTGTTCCTTTGCAATTAGGCACCGGGCTCCCAAGCATCTGTTTTCAGGGGAGATCACTGCTGGTGATTGTGTGCCTTGTGTTTTCTTCCCAGAGATGCTGGAGCCAGCCTGGAGAGCAGGGCTGGGAAAGGGCTGCTGAAACGATGAAAGAAATGAAGCTGGTGCCTTTGGAGGGGAGACAAGGAAATCCTGGCTTAATTAAATTAGCAGAATGAAAGCTGAGGAAGATAGCTGCCTATAAATACACTGGTGGAAGATGAGGAGGGCAGAGCAGCACTGGAGGAGAACTATTTATGCCCGAGGATAGTGTTGGCACAAGAACAAATGTACATAAACTGGCCCAGAATAAATTCAGCCTGGAAACTGGAAGATTGTTTCTGACAATTAGAGAGCAATCGGACTATGGAGCAGCCTTCCTGTGGGAATAGAGGGGGATAAAACCCTTCCTGCTTTTAGTAGGAGGGGCAGGTCCGATGACCAGGGATGCCATGCAGCCCAACACTCCTTCTCTTTTCTTTATTTTCCTGTGATTTCTGCCTCAGCCTCCTATTTATGCCAATTCTCATCACGTCCCACCCTCCTTTCTGTCGCCTGATATGGATCTCAGTTGCTGGCTTTGCTCCCTTCTGATGCAGGTGGCTTTCTTCTAACAGTAATAAATTCTCCACATGGTCAGGAGCCTGCAGCACTCTTGGTGCTTTTTAGTTTTCCTTTTTTTTTTTTAATCTCTGTGCCCAATCCTTCTTTGTCCATTTGTCCTTCTTGCATGGAGGGGTCCAGATGGGGGACAGTCGGTGTCTTCCAACCAAGGTGTCTCTGCCAAGCCCCACACAGGTAAGAGAGTCCCTGGAGGGGACGCTGATATGCCCTGTTTGGGTTAAATAGGCACAAAATGGTAATCAGAGCCTATTTCTAGCCGTTGGCCCTCTGAAAATAACTTGTCCCAGGGATGGAGAAGGGCTTTGGGAAAACCCGGAGTGTCTGGAGCCATGGATGTTGAGCATCCTTGGGATGCTGGCAGCAGTAGCTTGCAGCCTAAGCCCTGGGAGTTGTCCCATTTGCACAGCTCTTTCTGGGACATATCCCATTTGGACAGCTCTTTCTAGGACTGAGAAATGAGAGGTGCTTCAGAATAACTTCATTGGTTTTTCGAGTGCCTTTTCTCAGGTTTCCCTCAAGCTGCTGTGAAGGGGATGGAGCAGGGAGGTGGCTGAGCTCTCCTTGTGTGCAGGGATCCTTCCAGGAGGGCAGCAGTGATGCTCTTGGCTCGTGAAATTGGATGTTTATGTTGGGTTTAGGGGCAGCAATAGTTCAATATTTCGGTTCACTTTTTGCTAAAAATGTGGGCAGCGGATGGGTGAGAGCGGGTGTGAGGAAGAAAAGGGATTTTTCTGCTTGCAGGTTGTACCTGTTCCCCTCAGCTGGAGCTTTTCTTCATTTATTACCATAATGAAGCCCCATGAAACTTCCCAAAAGGCTGGAGGCCTTGCAAGAAGGAGCATAAGACCAAATTTCCTCCTGCAGTCGAATCATAATGTTGAATCCCAAGTGTGCCGGAGGAAAAAGAGAAAAATTAGAAGCCTTTGTCAGGTATTATGTCAGCTTTCTGGATTATCAAAGGAAATCTTTTCAGCAAGGTAGTTGAAATACTGGGTTTTCAGGGGAATTAAATGCCAGCCTGTGTGTTTTGGGTGCTTAATTCTTCTAAGGCCTTTAAAAACTCCTGTTTCATTCACATTCTCTGAGTGTCACAGCTTAACTCGAGCCACGTGCGTGCTCCATCCGATATCCAGACAATTCCTCCTGATGAGGGAGCAGGGTTGGTGCTACTGCTGCTGTTCTGCATGCACACAGCTCTGCCAAAGGACTGGCAAGTGCATCTGTTTGAACTTTACTCTGCCTGCAGTTAATTGCAATTACCTATTTAGTTATTGGGATCAATAGGGAAGTTGGGGAGGGAGGGATGTGGGAAATAAACCCCATTTGCTGTGATGCTTCACCTCATTTCTTTACTCACTGCTTCACAGCTCAAGCACTTGTATTTCTAACCCCCTTAATGCCCATTTTTTGCTAAACCTGTCCTTATTGCAGATTTGAGATTCATTCTTATCAGGTTTTTTTTTTTTTTTTTGCAAAGCAAAGTAGAACAGATATCAGATCAGAATGCATTAAAATAATATTCCTAAACAATGCAACCAACCAAACTAATTTAGTAAAGCAACAGTTTGCATGCATCAAGGTTTTTTACTCCCTTAATGCTGTGTAATTGGGCTGCAGGTAAAGTTGAATAAATCATTTATGGAAGGATAAAAATGGGGAATTTCTCAGCAGAGTGTGCCTGTGCTGGGGAGCAACTGAGTGCTCAAACCTCGTGGGTGGGTCACTGAGGAAGGACTGTGGGGTCCCCCCAGAGAGGAGCCAGCCCTGCAGGAGGCTCTGTTTGGATCCTCCCTGCCCTGGCAGCATCAGGGAGGGATTAGAGCTGTGTGGGACAAATCCCAGCAGTGGGGTGAGGGATGTTGTGGGCACAGCACTGGGTGGGACTGTTCAAACTTCTTTTTGATGCAGCAATACCTTAAAGGGGGTAAACCAGGGAGAATTTAATTTCTAAAATTCTGCCTGCTCCTTCCAAGTCCTCGCCACCCCCACGGACCCACAGGCTATGGCCCTGAGGCAGCTTTGTCATTGTCATATTTATTCTGATCCCAGCCAGGTCAAACCTTTTAAGCCAAGTACAAGGCAGTTGGCTGTGCCTTGTTTTCCCCCCAGATTAAGCCCTTTGCATCATGCATCTGCAGAATGACTTCAAAGCACTGAATATCCATTTTCTTCCTCAATTCCTGCCTTTGTTGGTTTGGGTTCTAAAGCAGCCAAAGGAATATTGAAATTCTCATGCTTTCTCCTTATTTATTCAGCATTACCTTGGCTCTGCTCGGTTGGGGTGCCTCCACATTAAGATTTTACCAGCCCAGCTCTGCTGTGCCAGACATGGGAGCGTTTTTCCCGGCTGCAGGTGGAGAGTAAATCCATAATTCTGTGGAAGCTCAAACCCAGAGGCAATGCTGTGCTCAGCTCCAGCTGCTCTTCTCCTCTTCCCACTGCCCTCACCCTGCTGCACTGCTTCTGGGATGCTGTCCTAGACACTGTTTTGGGGGAAATTTGTTAGATGAGATGGAAAGCCCGGCTGAGTTCCTTGCTGGAGCTGCATTGCCTCTCTGGTGTATCTATCTGGTAGCACAAAGGACAAGGCCATTAGTTTTCAGGCTAATCCCTACTGAAGCATCAGGCTCCTTCTCCTGATGGCCAGAAGCAGTCTAGAGAGATCCAAGACAGCTCAGGTGCTGGCCAGGGCTGTGGGAAGCGGTGATCCCAGCCGCTGGGCTCAATTTGCCAGCTCAGCCCAGGATGTGACCTGTGGGACTTTTCCTGTGGTCTTTGGCCCATTGCAGGGGCAGTGGCCTCTCTCCCTCCTCAGTACTAATTACAGACTCTGGTCTGTGTTTTGGAGGAAGGGCTCTCTCCGTGCCTGCTCTGCCAGTCCAGCACCCACTCTGGGATATGTGAGGATAGAGCTGGCTGCTGGAGACCCCAGTGCTCCCCAGGTGAGAGGAAAAAGAGAGGATAGGGATGGAGGGATGGCAGCTGGAGCTTGCCCTCCGTTAGCTGGCACCTTTATCAGCAGCTCCTTCAAACCTGGGCTGACATCCACTGCTGCCAGCACTGTCCTGGCAGAGGGGCCGTGCTTGTCCCCCTGCAGTCATCCCTGTGACCTGCCACCGTGGCGTGCTTCCAGGAGAGTCATCAGCTGCTAAAAATAACTGGGGAATAGCTGATGGAGTGGCTTGTCTCTGTGTGCCAGTGGGATCAGCCAGGAGGCTGATCCAGCCAGGGCTGCGCTCGGCCGCTCCCCTGTCCCTGTCCCCAGCAGGACGGGGAGGTCACGGCGCCTTGGCTTCGCTCCACGGCCTCACTGCTGCACTTGCTGGGCTGTCACAGCCGGTTTTCTCCTCTGCTCTGAGCCCAGGCACTGACAGGGAAGTCAGCTCGTCCAGCACTGCTTGTGTTCCCTGCCTCTTGCAGAGTCAAATCCCTGGCACAGCTTTGCTCGAGCCTCCGGATGAGTAGAGGTTACGGTGTAACTTCACACCAGAGGGAACAAACTCTTCCAGCTCTGTCTCACCCTCAGTGGGAGTGAGGAGCTGGTGTTCAGTATCTTCCATCCAAAGCACAGCCCTCTGATGCTGGATGCCAACAGCCTTAACTTTAGCAGCATTCTAAAGCCAGAATTCTGCAGTGGGATTGTGGTGTGTGCTGCAGCGGTTCTCTGTCCATCTCCTGATCAGAGAACTGGGCTTGCAAATTGCTTTGCTGCTTTTCTCCCTTCCCAGGCCTTTGTTGCTTGTTGTAATTCAGGACTTTGCTCTCTTCGGTGGCCTTTCCTGCAGGATGGTGCAAAGCCAAGGGACACAGGTCTCCAAGGAGGACATGGACCCTGCTGATTCAGCTGGGCTTGTCTGGTGGGGAGGTGTGGAGGCCACAGCTGCCTCTGGGTCATAACCACCTAAAACAAAGCCTGGGGTGCTCAGGGCACCCCGTGGCAGAGACAAAAGGAGGTCTGGGCACCCTTTTGTGTTAAACAGTTGTTTTATTCCAGCCTCTGGCTGGAGGGACCTGTGCTCCGTGACCTTGTGTGTGGGTTGCAAATAGAGAGATGCCCTCCTTAGCACAGCACATGCAGATCTTTAATCAGGGACCTCAGTGTCCATAACCTTGCTTGTAATAGCTCTCTGCAGTCATTGCTAAACATATTCAGCCCTGGGAGCAAATGCTGGAGGAAACATCTCCATCCCTGCTTGTGGGAAGGGGCTTTTTCCTGTATCCCACTGGCTACATGCTCAGGGATGTTCTGTTAGCCAGGCCCTCTTCATTCTTCTTGTTGGGAATGCTGAGTGCCCTTGATGCCTCAGGTTTTAGCTTTTATGTTTTTCACATTCTGTGCTGCTTTTGTGGGTGGGTCTGGGCTTCATATAAGGGGATGGTGGCTCTCTGCACAGAGCAGGGAGAGAAAACAATTCCTTCTCTAGCTGGGGACCAAGGACAAATGATCCAAATCTCAGGCCCAGGAGCACAAACAATGTGGGCTGGAGAGAGAAAAGCAAGCAGGATGGGACTGCCTGGGCTGGAGCTGTAATTGGATAATTAACTCCAAGGTGCAAATGGAGCAGAACTGATCAAAGTGACAGACCCCGTGACCAGTTGTGCATTTTTGTGATCATTTTGGGTTCACCTTGGGTGTAGCCCTGGCTGGCCTCTTGTGCTGCCCAAGGTGGATCTGTTGAGGCCTCCTAGTAAATCCCTGTTTTATTCTTTAACTCTGGCTCTGTTCTAACTCAGCCTTCACAAGGCATCACCCTGGCAGAGCAAACCAGGTTCAAGGGCTGGTGAAATGCTGCAGACTTGCCTGTGCTGAAGCTCTTCTTTTCTTCTCTGGACTTCTCCCTGCTTTGAATTCCACTGTTGTATTTGTGCCTCTTACCCTCTAATTATAGGTGCAGTGTTTCTCAGCTTTCCTTTCTGGGAAACGTGTCTGCTGTGTGACTGGAGCTGCGCCTCCCCCGTGCCGCCTTCGGCAGGAAGCGGGATGCGATCCCTTCCATCCCTTCCATCCCTTCCATCCCCTGCCTCTTCCCTCCCCTGGCAGCTGCAGCCAAGTGTGGAGTTCACCGAGGGGACAGCAAGCAGGATTCAGGGAGAGACTGGTGTCTACTCCCTCTCTAACTGCAGTTGCCTCTTTTCTTATTTATAAGTGCAAGCAAACAGGTGCTAAAAGCTTT